ACGGACCTTATTTAAAGTTTTTCTAAAATCCCCTATTGGGAAAAATGAATGGTGGAAAAACGATTGGAGTAATTTCCCTGATTGACCGCTAGGTTTTATGGGTATTATGACACCACCACCGTTTCTATGCCGATAACAATTGCGATTACCTTTGTGCAAAGGAAGGAAGCGAAGTCTTCTCCCTCGCAAACAGAATATCCCTTCCACTAATTTCACCAATGTTTATCATGGCCAAAAAGCTAATTTCTGTTTATTTTTATGATCGACAATTCTGACTTTGTGGCTGTGGAATCTAGTGGAAACCGTTTATCATCCGCACACGTGCTTGAAAATCACAGCACATGTTTAAGCACCGCCAATGCCTAATCCTGATTCGTCCAAATAATCAATGATGAAAACCCAAAACCAGGAACTATTGCGGCTCGTAATCACATAATTCTAAATGAGCCTTGACAGATTCGCCGTTTCATCTGGTTGTCCCTAGTTACAACAGCCAAAGTCAAAATTGGCTGGATTGTAAAAATTCACGAAAACAAAAATGTGCTTTTTGGTCTTGATTTAAGGTTAGGCTTAGGCATAAGGTTAGCAGTGTGGCATGGTTAAGGTTAGGTTTAAAATCAAATTAAGAAGACAAATTGTAGAAATGGGTGGTGTTTATGTCTTTGTGGCTGTGGTAACTAGTGATGACCGTTTCATCTGTCCGAGAGATTACCACTCAGTCATTGATTCACCACTCAGTCATTGATTCACTCACTCAGGAGTAGGACACACACAATAAATACAGTACACAAGGACTGAAACAGATATAGAATTTTATTGTCAACCAGAAGTAGGAAAAAATACAGAGGTGTAAAGGAAACAAGCCGACCTTGGTATAAAACACAACTACTCAAGAGAACCAAGAAGACTAGAGGATGACAGTGAAATAATGAAGACCATGTTTACCATTAGGTTGCTGTACATGTACTAATATTACATTAAAAACAGCTGCCATGTTTTATCTATATATTTTTCAAATACATAACTCTTTAAAACATTGTGCAAGTGTGTTGCTGGTATTCCATAAATGGTAAACAAGAGTTGGTCCAGTGCATTACATAGTGACACATTACCTCTATACACTTAACTTTCAGTTGGCCACAAGCCTAACCATTGCATTACTATTTCTACTTAAGAGAGAAAGGTAAACAGATTGAGAAAGGTCAATGAAAAGGAGACAGATTCAAATGGAAAAGACAGGTAATTGTAATTTCTGCCAAAGCATTACAAACCAAAAATTAGAATTTTGTTTTTATTATTATTATTGCCAAGTTCGGGTAAACTATACATAAAGACAGTGCCAATTATCTGACACTCACATCAAATGCATATTTTGCCTATGAACTAGGACTGTGGTGGCCATACATGCACCAGTTATCAAACATAACAGAGATAGCTAGAGATGTGAAGGCAAGACACCTAGTGTCAGGGATTAGTTGGGTCTAAATGTTGTTAATCAACTAGGCCATGACTAGTGCCTGCCAAACATCTCCATTCCCACCCTCTAGGGTCTGCCAACAGATCAAACAGCAGGGAAATAGTGTAAGGGTCAAATGGTCATAAATGTTGGCCAAATCAGTGGAACCTCATAATGCTGTACATTTACAAGCAAAGAGCCTTTTACACCAGCCATCTCCTCAACATTGGCTACTACCCAACATCCCCTACCTACCCAGTACCCACATCCGATAACAAGGCTCTATAAAGCTAAAAGGTAAAAGTTGGAGAATCTCATTTGGTGACAATGACAAATCTTTATCTGTGACTTTATTTTCTCTAGATGTTTGTCAATTGTTTAAAAAGACACTGTTCAAATCATGTTCTCTTAAATCAAAAGTTAGCAACCATATAAATCTATAATTCAGTGTGCCAACATTTTCACAAAAATAAATTTGGTTTGAGAATTACACAAAATAAAAAACAATGAGCAAAGACAGAAACCAATCATATTATGATTATACATTTGTCATGATACACAATTCATGAAAGGAAACGTGATACAATTTATTCACAATTTACAAAAAAATCTATTTTAGCTACAACACCATCAGCAATCCAATATAATTAACCAGATACATTTATTTTGTTGAAAAGCTAAACAAAAAAGGAGGGTGGAAAATTGAAAGGGACAACAAAAGGACCAAGACGGAACCCTTTCCATCCGTTTTCTCCTGCTTGGTAAAATTCATAAAAAATATACTTTTGCAAAACAGCAAAAGTATAATTTTAAAAAAGCCACACGAGTAGCTGCACTAGTGATCTACAATAAGTGCTTATCAATCCACTGAATAAAAAACAGAATTCAGGAGAGCACAACAAAACACACAAATTGGCCTTGAGAGAAAATATCTGTCAACAGATCATATTTTTCATGTAGCTGTGGTTTGGAAACTAGCTGGACCACGCCATAGCTCTGGCTCACAACAAGCTCAGAGCAATATTTAGGAATAATACATTTTATGACCCCTTTCGTTTTTTTTACCTTGATATTTTCTGTACAGTATATAAGTGGTAAGTTGACTTAACAATTGGCCTTGAAGTAGAATGTATCAAATGGCACTAGAGACAATAGAAGATATCGCTGTGGTCTAGCAGTAGACATAAGAAAACACCTCAAAATGAAACAAGATTTAAAGAGAATTGCCTGAGTTGAGGAGTCAGTGGCTCTAGATACAACTATTTTACACTAGACTGAGGAAGAGGGGGAGGCGTCCATGTAAGGACCTCTGCATGATCGGGTTCCTCGGAAAGACAAAACAAAAAGAAAGGACATGATAAAACAGATCTAAACACATTAAGAGACAAAAGCGGTTTACAGTTTTAAAAAAAAATTTAAGAGCCCAGCAAAAATAGCCACTTTACCCGATTACTCTAAAAATCAATAACTAAGTGAGACAAGGAAATAATATTATGTTTGATAGCTAATACAAAAAACAAACTTCTAACGGTGTTTTAAATTTGAGAAAAATAGGAGGCTGTTCAGGTGTTCACTGATAGCACTGGCAGTGCGTTTGAGAACAGAATCAGGGAGGCACGTTTTATGGTTTTACCGCAAATGCCAAAGACAGATGTGAGAAAATTGCCAGAAACCTGCCTCTGAAATGCATTCAATTTTAAAAAGTGGTTAAATCGGGAAAATGTAACCTGGTCGAGTGCAACTTTCAACGGCGGAAACCTGAAAAAACCTCTATTGTTTTGTTTTTTGTACAAGCTGGTCTTTTTCATTGTCTTAACTTTAAACAATTAAAATGGATACAAATGTTGCCTTAATTTACAATACAATCATTTTCTCCAAATCTGACCATACTTACAAGTACAAAATAATGCAGTGTATTAGGACTTCTGAAGTTCATATACAATCAAGTTGAGCCCAAGTTCCTGTATCAAACAAATAGCTATTAGTAATGGAGAGGAATAACCCTGAATTGAAGAGTGGGATGTCTATGTAAGGGAAGGTTTGCTACTGGCCTAAAAGACAGCGCCACAGATCGGTCTGTTGGAGCATGTTTTTTGGGGGAATGTCCACCCTGCTTTAAACCATATGTGATTTAAAGCAAGTTGTCCCCTGCCCAATTCCATATGGCTACACAGCTATGGGGTCAGAGATGGGGTCTCTGGCATAAGACATGTTTGGAAGCTGCCAAGTCAGACTGACCATGACTGTATTCCCTTTCTAAATCCCTAAGCCCCATCGCTAAGGATCACTAAAGGTAATTCCCAGTGAATGACTGGTGGTTTTCATAACATTTTCATATCTGATGCTAGATTCAAATGGCTCTATGGCACGTGACTAAGGTAAAATTGAATTGCAATATTAAAAGGCAGTCCCTTAATTTTGCTCTGACGTTCAGATTTGTGATTAGGCTATAAAAACAGAACCAGTCCGAGGTGTTAATCCTATGAGTCTAGATAAACTACCAGTCGGAACATGCAGGCCTACATGTATTATCACCCTAGCATCATACACTAAAATAGACATTTTACAGTAGTCTTTCAAAGAATAGGTTTGGAAATGCCGTTGTGCTTTAGCTGCACAGAGCGACTGCACCACTCAGTTTACAATGGAGCCGCTGAGCTAGAGGACGGGCTTTTAGCACCTGGAGAGGTGGTCTCAGAACCAGTGAGTGCAAAAGTGCATCGTTTGGCCTGCTCTCTCCAGCACCTCCAAACCTGTTACACTCTTTATGGCAAGATACGGCAATGCGAGGGAATGTATTTGGAGCGGCTGAGACTGACTCTGGTTAAAGCTGGTATATTGGCCTTGTGGGTTTATCTAGTTGATTGGTGGTGTCTTGAGATTTTGCTGCTCGCTCTGACTGACTGTGGTGACATGAAGAATCCCTGTAGGATATACAAATAAAGAGAGCCACACACACACATATATATACACATACACACACACACACACACATATATATGCTCCCAGTAATTTATTGGGTAAACCACCAACGTTTCGGCACTGTGGAACTGACGCCGAAACGTTGGTGGTTTACACAATCAATAACTCGGAGCCTATATATAGTGTGGGACTATTTTTATAGCCTACAGTTTACTTGCCGTTAGTCAGCAGCTCATGCTTTTGACATGAAGAATATCTCACTGGTGATACGAGGTGGGAAACTACTCTACAGATGTACGCACTCCCTGTGGGTCTCATGGTATTGCCACACAATACAATTCAACAATTTATCAGCAGGTTACTTAATAACGAAACACCCAGGACTGCTAAGTGGGATATGGTGTGAAAAAAATATACAACATTAAATTGTGCCCAGAAAATGTGATAAAGACATATCGTTGTGATCGTCGTGAACTTTCGCTTCAGTTAAAATCCATGGGGGAAACATTGGCCATACCCCACTCCTCTTATTGTATTTCGATTGATACAGAATGGGTTTGTCGACTTTGCAGGAAAAATAGAATGAGGTTGGAGCAACAGCTCCCTCTTGTGGCTCGGATAACTACCTGCGCCCTGGCAGGTGGATTCCGTTGACTGATGACGGGTAGGAAAGGAGCAGCTCCAGTTGTGCAAACAGGGAGAAGTGATCGGAGGGGATGTGGGGGTGGGGACAGCCGCTGATATTGTTCTCATGGAGCCAGTGAGGATCCAGGGGACCCAGAACCCCCAACACATTGAGCGTAGGCTGAGAGTAGAAGATGTAGTCAATGATGCCCTGCACAGAGAGGAAAAGCACATCAGATGGTGATACATTTACATTTTAGTCATTTAGCAGACGCTCTTATCCAGAGCGACTTACAGTTAGTGAGTGCATACATTATTTAATTTTTTTCATACTGGCCCCCGTGGGAATCGAACCCACAACCCTGGCATTGCAAACGCCATGCTCTACCAACTGAGCTACATCCCAGCCGGCCATTCCCTCCCCTACCCTGGACGACGCTGGGCCAATTGTGCGCCGCCCCATGGGTCTCCCGGTCGCGGCCGGCTACGACAGAGCCTGGATTCGAACCAGGATCTCTAGTGGCACAGCTAGCACTGCCTTAGACCACTGCGCCACTCGGGAGGTTATACATTCACATCCCCGGCCTGGAGAAAATTATTCACCAGTGTGACCCAAGCTTTCATAATAACCCAGTCTTTTAGAACAGTTCACAAACACTGTGAAGCTAAAATTGACACCAACGCAAAAAGAGCGATATACAGAAGACATGAATGGGCAGTCTCACCTTGAAGTCAAAGGTGTAGTTGGTGTAAGGCATCAGGCCGTTTTCGTAGGCACTCTTCAGCTTGAAGCTATGGGTGATCCTGCCGTTGGACGTGCCATTCTTGCCGTTGCAGTTGAAGTTGGTCAGGCTGTCGATGTAGCGCAGCTCCTTGAAGTCCTTGTGGGTGCTGTCCACTCCGCCCGAGCTCAGGTACTCCACCACACCTGCATGCAAACAAACAGATCACCAGGCATTACAAAAGGCACTACAGTAGAGTACATAAACTCACTTTTCGGCTGACCCAGTTAGTCGTACACACCAGAGTCAGGCAGTGAGTTGAGGTCAGCACACAGGACGAGTGGGACGGTGTTGGTCTCCCCGGAGACGGAGGAGAGCTTGAGGCTGCGCGTGGCCTTGTCCACTATGTTTTTCACCTCAGACAGGAACATGACGGTCTGGACCACCTTGACGTCAGAGTACGCCGGGTCCCAGTGCATGTGGGCGTTGGCCACCAGGAGGAGCTGTTTCTCCATGCCGTGTAGAGACTTCCCCACTAGACAAACACACATAGGACAACACCAGCGTTTTGACATGGAAACATTTAAGCCTTATGGAATTCATGCTTTTTCGCTGGTGTACGTGTAGTGTGAGAGAAAGACTCACCAGACTCCTCCATCATCTCCTTGCGCACCTCTAGAAGAGCAGCCACACCAATGTTGTCCTTGGTCATGACTCTGTTGAGCATGGCCTCTGAGCCCTCAGAATTCGCCATAGCCAGCTGGTTGAATTCCACCGTGTGTTTCTGCACCAGGCTGAACCTAGACAGCAGAGAGGAGAGGCAGAACAGACAGGTGAGTGCACTGTGCTGCCTCTGGGACAGCTTAAAAGGCTTTTCTGCAATGGCTGAATTTAGAATCATTACACCACTGAAACGCACTATATACAGGGCAAATGTCATAAACATACTTAAACTCATGATCTAATCAAGACTGACAGGTGTCGTGAACTCACTTTTCAGTTCTGTAAAATATGGCGCAGCCGTCTACATGCTTGCGGTCGCACTCCGACATGGTCCTGGCGCGGGACTTGGGGCTGAAAAAGCCCTCGTAACCCTGGTCCTTCAGCTCCGGTAGGAAGTAATTGTAGTACTGCTCTGTTTCCACTTCCTGTTCAGGAAAAACCATGACAATTCAGGTTAACCTTCATTTTGAAGGTGCATTATTCAAAGTGTATAACCTGTAACTATGGAGATGACATCACAACCACAACACGGCCGCTGCGCTCGCTGACGTAAGACAATGCCCTAAATTCTAGACTGATTGTACCACGCACGTGTCCTATAATTCATTGTAACTTTCAGTATCAAATCACATCAGCATCTCTGTCTGCCCACCTGTAGGCTGATGATATCAGCGTTGCAATTCATGATCTCCTGCATGATGGACTTCTTCCTGTACTCCCAGTTGAGGGCCCAGGAGGGGCAGTAGCCGTAGAGCTGGCGCGTGGCGTACTTATCGCACAGCACGTTGTAGCACATCACAGAAAACAAGGCTAGCACAGGACAGAGGGACGCAGACATGAGATTATCCTAGTCTCTCATTAGGGCTCTGAATATGATTAATAACACACATAATGTTCTTTGTGTTGATGTGTGTGGCTTTGGATAGGTTTTGAAAGTGATATGTAAACGGTGGATGAGTTAAGTTACCTGCTGTTCGTGTCCGGTCAGGCTCTGCCAGGACAATCCATGATCTGGGTGGGGGTTGCTCTGAGTTGACTGGGACAGAGGGGGAAAATGAGTAATCCTTACACTGCTACCCAAAAGACCCTTATGAGTGATTAAAGGAGTGTAAATACATCTTCAAAGTGACCACTTTAATACGATCATCAAGATCAACTGACAGATCCAAGTCATTCCCTTCACCAAATAATAACTTATCTAACACACTCAATTCAAAACAACAAGATGCTTTTCCTGTATTTGGATTGACCTCGTTTGGTCCCTGCCAGATTGTCCAGAAGGTAGTTTAGCAGTTTCCTCGTGCCATCATGCTCCTGGTAGAGGTTCAATATTTCTTGTACAAGTGGGTTTCCTGCGGAAGGAGGATACAGAGGAAAGAAATGAGATACTACACAGAAGATATTACACAGGTTCAAGGATACAGAATGAAAACAATGACAAATCTATCATTCTATGACCTCTACTCTAGAAATCACTTGGATGAGCAACCAAATCAGCATACACAGATTATTACCTAAACTGAAAATACAGGGAATCATTGGATAATCCGCATGCAAGCTTTCAAGACCCCATGAACAGAAAGACCAGCTTCAAATAATCAACTCCGATACCACAAACCACCAAAATGTAATGATGGGAAAGCTTACCTTTTAACCCCAGTGTTTGTAACTTAAACAGTTTTCCGAGCTCAAAAGGTAGAACCCGCAACTGGTTATTGTTTAAAAGAAGTTCCCTGTGGAAGAGGTAAGACAGACACGTTTTAGAAGGCTAGAGACAGTAGAGAGCAATAGGTCAAGATTCGGAAGACAACATTCAAGTATTCACAGAAGTGACTGCTTTCTCGAGTCACCAGAGCTGTAGAAATCCCTCTGTGAGGTAACATGTGTCTTGTGTCACATGCTGACCACACCGCCCTCATTGCTTGCGCGAGCATTGCAAAATAGATGTACACATACGTTATTCAATCATTTCATCAAAACTGCTTGCGCGCATCAACAAGCGTCTGCATAGCCAGGCGCTAAAATAGAACTTGGTTCTATTTTTGACGCTTAATGCACTGCAAGTCCCACCTCTCCAATCTCCTCATTGGTTTTTAGGAGCATATACCCACGTGGGTGATTGAAAGATGAACTGAGGTCCACACTCCAGTCAGTAGCAGTTATGCACCTTAAAGTTGGTTGCCAACCGCCATAAATCCACAGAAGAAGACTGAAGGAGGAGCGATTACAAGAAACTAACTAGGCTTTCCCTTTTATCTGTGGATTAATTGTCGGAGTAGAGAACTCAGGATTTTGTGTGACTGAAAATGGGTCAAAACTCTACAATGATCCAGAAAAAAAGGACCTTGTGGATTTCAGGTAAAATAACAATCCAATGTTTATATCCCTGGACAAATTAGCTAGCAACAGCAAGCTAGCTAGATAAATGTCCATGAATGTTTAATGTGCTTCAACCTGTCCCCAAATTAATATAGTTGGTTCAGAGTTCATTTTGATATTTTAACCTGCGTGTCCTGATCGCGTCTGGTGTGGACAGACAAAATCAACATGCGCACACGCACCCGGTCTAGTCAGCATGTCAATCAATAAGTATCTGTTCAGACCATTTCCATGTCTGCTCAGCCAGTTAATGAGCAATTTGTCATTGAGGTACAGGTGCAGGAGAGGGGATACACAAGCACGATACAAACAAAAACACACATTTCCTTGAAACAGTAACTAGCTATTACCAATTTCAATCACAGTGGGTAACAGATGTGTAATACCACACATGGGAGGCTAAAATGTCTCTTCATTAATCTATTTTATAGAATGTGCTCTCAGCCTAAATCCCCTAGGGATCCTGAAATGGCATTGTTGATTAGATGAAGAACACACTTAACATTTCCAGTTATAGCGTAACTAGCTCAAAACAACAGGGTTTGAAGCATGAGAACTGTGAAAGGGTTTAAATTAAAGAGATACCTGGTTAAATTCCTATGCTATTGAGAAACTGCAAACTCCTCTCTTTAACAGGCCCAATCACCAGCTTTTAGTGCAAATTATTTATCATTTGGAAGACACAGCCATGTCAATGTTGGTTCTCCAAACTAGCATAGTAAACAACACTCAGTGCAAGTTGAATTGTGTCCATTGTAGGCTATGACAGACCTGAGAGACACCATGTTGCCAAGCTCGGCGGGCAGGCTCCTGATCTTGTTGGATGAGAGGTCCAGGTACACCAGGTTTTGAAGTTTGGCAATATCGGGCGGGATACGAGAGAGGGAGTTATCGCCGATATGAAGAGCAGTGAGGTGAGTCAACGTCCATAATGAGGTGCTCAGACTCCTCACTTTACCTGCCGAGACGAGTGGGGAAATCAGGAGACAAGAGAGTGAATCAGTGAAAACAGGAGTACATAAAAACCCTTACTCAATTTAAATGGAAATAAAGTATACACCTATAGGCCTACATGTGGAAGCCATCCCCCCACCAGTCCTCACCACTAATTTCGAGCTCAGCCCAGTACGACTTCTTCCCGTTGGCTGCCTCCTCAGTGGACATTATTGTGTACATCCGCCTCGGGTCTGGCGGATCATATTGTTCCTTGGGCATCCCTATAATACTGAAAAATAAAAAAACAAAATGTTGAACCAGAAACATTGCATGGTCGATTTGAAACCACACCCTCCTAGATCTATCCTAGAGATGTTGACTGACAGACAAGTAGTCTAACACATTAATTCCTAGGACACCGAATATGTACAAACCAGTAAGAAAAAATGCCAGTCTAACATACTGCAACTTCAATATGTAGTTACAGTACTGTACAAGTCCATGTTTAGCCTACAGTTATTACAATTCGCCACTCATTACATGAAGATACCCCTTTCACACTATGAGTCATTCAGCGCTACAGATTCAGACACATTCTCACCCCGTGGCAACTGGAAGACCCCATAAAACAAAATGTTGACTGAGCATTTAGGAGGCCGTAGAAAAACACTTAGCTATTTTGTCCACAATGTAATTGTTTTGCACATTTGCCACAATCAGATTAACATAGGGACATTAACAGTTTGACACGGCAGAGGCATGAAGATTGTACAAACACAGCAAGCTCTATGTACTTAGGAGCGACCACAAAAGCAGACTTAAAATAGGATATTCCTGAAAATCACTTTGTACCTTTCTCAAATAACTTGTCCTCGTGTTGATACTGTGGTTAGCACGTTCACAAACATTTGTTTCAACAAATCATTGAAGTCACAAACTAGCTGATCTTGCTAGCTAGCTACAAATAAGTTGTACGCTAGCTAGCATAAATTCATTTTCAGCAGTGGTTATTGGTTTCAACAACTTAACATTCACCCGATATCATTAACGTTAGCTAGATAGCTTACCACTAACAACTAGTGCAGCTAAGTATGTGCATTGTATACCTAACATTACCACATGCCATCCAAACGAAAATTGAGCGATAACTAACGTTAGTTAGCGAACGTTAGCAACTATGATAGCTAGCTACCTCTCTTTGGCTACTCCATTCGGCTTGATTTTCATACTTGGTACAGACAGTAACGTTAAAAGTACAGTCTAACCTCGCTTAATTAGCTAACGAACGTTATATGGAGCCTTATTTAAGCGGTAGCTAGTTAAATGTGTAGTTAACTAGCTAGCTACCTATTCGAGGATATTCACATGATAACAACTAACGTTAGCTAGCTATGATCTAACGTTAAGATAGCTAACTAACTTAGCTAGTTTAGTTTAAGATATTCAAAACTTAACTAGCTAAACCACACACATCACAGGCAGACGATAAATGGCTAGTTAGCTAGCTAACGTTAGATGACAAGGTATATAGCTAAAGCGTCAATCCCCGTGCACATCCATTGTAAGTACAGCGACTTCTAGCTAGCTAGTGGACTTCAAAGTCTAGTTAGCTCAACATGAATCAATAAATAACAACGAGGAAATGTGCCCTCATGGATTAGTACGTTTTGCTAATTTGCTTGATAACTAACGTTAGTTAAGCTTAGATAGCTAGTTTGACAGCTAGGTAACGTTAACCATTATTTTATTGTTAGCTAGCTAGCTCGGTTATCATTCGTATTGGTTAGCTAGCTAACTGGGTTAACTTAGCTGGCTAATGGGTAGTCTATGCTAGCTTATTCATCTTACAAAACACATGACGTTGTTTTCATACACTTAAACAAATGTGCATCTTTAAATTATAATGAGATGGTTTACCTTTATGAGCATACCAGTCAGCGATGCGTGTGCGTGTTTCCTTTGTTTCTAATTCACTTCGTGTCAGCTGTTACCCACTGAAAGAAAACAAGAATCATGGCGTCCTTTAGATTTTTAGTCTGTGATAACAACGCTCGTTGTAATTGCCTCCAAACTGTTTACGCTGGTAGTGGTAAATACAAAACTGTTGTTGCGCGCATCAAACTGGGTCGTGAACATGGAACAAATTAATCAAATGATTTCATTCAACTTGTGGTCATCCGATACAATGTAACAGTTTACAGGTTCTGAGACTACAAATGAAGTTTTCAACAATCATAAAGCGTAGTAGATCCTAATACATGTTTCATTTGTAGTACGTTCCAATACCCTTAGCATGAAAATAGCGTCAAAACACCCAAAGTAATGCAAAATAAATGTAGCTAGGCTACCGTATACCAAATCAGTGCAATAGCGACTGTAAAATTCCTATTCTCACTATAATTGCAATATTTTCTGGCCCCAGTAGGGAGCAGCAGAGAAAAGCAGATGGTAGAACAAGCAGCGATGTGCAATATCCATCAAGAGAAAAACGTAAGTGATGTACAATTTTTTATATTCTGCATTTTTAATTGCAACCTGATGATGATGACGACAATGATGAGACAGCCTGTAAGGAGGAGGTCAGAGACCTGGCAATGTGGTGCCAGGACAACAACCTCTCCCTCAATGTGAGCGAGACAAAGGACCTGATCGTGGACTACAGGAAAAGGCTGGCCGAACATTAACATCGACAGGGCTGTAGTGGAGCGGGTCGAGAGTTTCAAGTTCCTTGGTGTCCACATCACCAACGAACTATCATGGTCCAAACACACCAAGACAGTTGTGAAGAGGGCACGACAACACCTTTCCCCCTCAGGAGACTGAAAAGATTTGGCATGGGTCCCCAGATCTTCAAAAAGTTATACAGCTGCACCATCGAGAGCATCCTGACCAGTTGCATCACCGCCTGGTATGGCAACTGCTCGGCATCTGACCATAAGGCACTACAGAGGGTAGTGCGTACTGCCCAGTATATCACTGGGGCCAAGCTTCATGCCATCCAGGACCTATATACTAGGCGGTGTCAGAGGAAAGCCCAAAAAATTGTCAAAGACTCCAGTCACCCAAGTCATAAACTGTTCTCTCTGCTACGGCAAGCGGTACCGGAGCGCCAAGTCTAGGACCAATAGGCTCCTTAACAGCTTCTACCCCCAAGCCATTAGACTGCTGAACAATTAATGAAATTGCCACCCAGACTATTTACATTGACCCCCCCCGCACATAGTCACTTTACCCCTACCTACATATACAAATTACCTCGACTAACCTGTATCCCCGCACATTGACTCGGTACTGGTACCCCCTGTATATAGCCTCATATTGTTATTTTAGTGTGTTACTTTTTATTATTTTTTACTTTAGTTTATTTGAAAATATTTTCTGAACTCTTTCTTGAACTGCATTGTTGGTTAAGGGCTTGTAAGTAAGCATTTCACGGTAAGGTCTACACCTGTTGTATTCAGCGCATGTGACAAATAAAGTTTGATTTGATTTGACGATGAGGATGATGATAATGATGTTGAGTTAATTACAAGGCCTGTCAATTCCCAAGCCCATATGCCCAGATGGGCCTGGACATGTACTGGCTTAAGCAGGGGGACACGTCTGGCACTGCAGGATTTGAGTCCCTGGCGGCGTAGTGTGTTACTGATGGTAGGCTTTGTTACTTTGGTCCCAGATTTTTGTGATCATCTTGTGATCATTTTGATCCCACTGGGTGACATCTTGCGTGGAGCCCCAGATCGAGGGAGATTATCAGTGGTCTTGTATGTCTTCCATTTCCTAATAATTGCTCCCACAGTTGATTTATTCAAAACAAGCTGCTTACCTATTGCAGATTCAGTCTTCCCAGCCTGGTGCAGGTCTACAATTTTGTTTCTGGTGTCCTTTGACAGCTCTTTGGTCTTGGCCATAGTGGAGTTTGGAGTGTGACTGTTTGAGGTTGTGGACAGGTGTCTTTTATACTGATAACAAGTTCAAACAGGTGCCATTAATACAGGTAACGAGTGGAGGACAGAGGAGCCTCTTAAAGAAGAAGTTACAGGTCTGTGAGAGCCAGAAATCTTGCTTGTTTGTAGGTGACCAAATACTTATTTTCCACCATAATTTGCAAATAAATTCATAAAAAATCCTACAATGTGATTTTCTGGATTTTTTTTCTCAATTAGTTTGTCATAGTTGACGTGTACCTATGATGAAAATTACAGGCCTCTCTCATCTTTTTAAGTGGGAGAACTTGCACAATTGGTGGCTGACTAAATCCTTTTTTTTCCCCACTGTAGAAAGCAGTTAGAGGTATGTTCATTGTCAAGGGAATGGGATAGAATAAACAGCTATAGAGGCACTCAACGTCTAAACTTCTTTTAACATGGTTTTGCTCTCGCTTTTTATACTTCACATTTCAGAATGAACCCATAAAGCAGTTCAGGTGGAAAGTAGCTCATTTGTTTTAATCCAATGACATACAGTTGAAGTCGGAAGTTTACATACACCTTAGTCAAATACATTTCAACTCAGTTTTTCACAGTTCCTGACATTTAATCCTAGTACAAATTCCCTGTTTTAGGTCAGTTAGGATCACCACTTTATTTTAAGAATGTGAAATGTCCGAATAATAGTAGAGAGAATGATTTATTTCAGCTTTTAGTTATTTCATCACATTCCCAGTGGGTCAGAAGTTTACATACACTCAATTAGTATTTGGTAGCATTGCCTTTAAATTGTTTAACTTGGGTCAAACGTTTCAGGTAGCCTTCCACATGCTTCCCACAATAAGTTGGGTGAATTTGGCCCATTCCTCCTGACAGAGCTGGTGTAACTGAGTCAGGTTTGTAGGCCTCCTTGCTCGCACACGCTTTTTCAGTTCTGCCCACGCATTTTCTATAGGATTGAGGTCAGGGCTTTGTGATGGCCACTCCAATACCTTGACTTTGTTGTCTTTAAGCCATTTTGCCACAACTTTGGAAGTATGCTTTGGGTCAATGTCCATTTGGAAGACCCATTTGCGACCAAGCTTTAACTTCCTGACTGATGTCTTGAGATGTTGCTTCAATATATCCACATAATTTTCCTTCCTCGTGATGCCATCTATTTTGTGAAGTGCATCAGTCCCTCCTGCAGCAAAGTACCCCCACAGCATGATGCTGCCACCCCCGTGCTTCACGGTTGGGATGGTGTTCTTCGGCTTGCAAGCTTTCCCCTTTTTCCTCCAAACATAACGATGGTCATTATGGCCAAACAGTTCTATTTTTGTTTCATCAGACAGGAGGACATTTCTCCAA